TGAAACTGATATAGTCATCTGGTGAAACTCATATACACGGGAGAGTGCATCAGCAACTTTGTTACTTGGCCTGGGTTTATATTCTATTGTATAGCTGTAGCCCATAAGCTTGTAGGCCCAACACTGTTGCTCCCCAATGTGGGTATGTTGTTCCAAAGCATAGGCTCTTATGATCTGTACATATGATGACTTGAAAGAAGAAGAAGAAGAACTGTTTACTGTATTACAGGTTTGAAGAGAAGGAGAGAGAGAGAGAGAGAGAGTGACGATTGGAGAAAAGGAAGAAGGGGTTTGGTGGTGAATGATCTGCCGCCTCATACACTCCTTTATTTATAGCTTTTAGGATCCTTACAAGAATAGGAAATAAACAAAAATTAGAAACAACAAGGCCAGCCAGCTCAACTTAGCAGAAATTAGAAACTTCTAATAACAGAAATTAGAAACTACTAAAAAGAAATTAGAAACTACTAATAAAAGAAATTAGAAACAACTAGGTGTGGGTATGAAACCACACACACTAGAGCCTGAGTGTGGGTATGGAACCCCACACTTGTGGCTAACCAACTATTTCTTCATGATGAATTGGTGACCCACTAAATAATGGTGCCATTTTTGTGGCTAACCAACTATTTCTAGCCCTAGAAGAAGATGAGGCATTTGTAGTGGTGGCTACATTTGCTTTTTCCTTCTTATTCTTAAGTCTTGCAAGCACCAAATGGGGATGAAGCTTCCAATAAGTGTCTTTGGTGTATTTAGGTTTTATGTAATAGTCACAGATCACTTCCCTTTTTTCTTCCTTCCTAATCTCTTTTTCCTTATCACCACTATGCTTCTGCTTCATAGCTGCTAAGGTCGATTTTATTTTGGGAATTTTGCAGCATAACTTTCCTTCTACTCTCCTCACTATGCACCAGAGAATAGGCTTGGAACAAGGTAATACTATCCTTGGTGAGAAGTTGTTGTCTTACAATATAATATTTAGAGTTCAACCCAACAAGAAATTCAAAAACCCTATTTCTTTCCACCAACTTGTTATAAATTGTTGCATCCTCTTGATTCTCCCATTCAATTGTCTCCAAGTAATCAATCTCATGCTGCAGAGACTTTAGAGATGTAGAATAAATTGAAACAGGTTTCTCCCCTTGCTTCAGATTTGTTACTTCAGTTTTTGGCTCATAAGCCATGGCCACATCAAGGGGCTGAGAATAAGGCCATGTTTGGGAGTGCTTATTTTAAAAATAAGTGCTTAAAAAAGTGCTTATTCGAATAAGCACTTATTTGCATTTGGCACCAGCTTTTTCAAGTGCTTATTTAAAAAAAAAGCACTTGTTTCATATTGGGTGTTTGGTGGTCTTTTTCTCCAATAAGCACTTGTAACTCTTTTGTCCTTCATTTTCTTTCAAATTTTCAAAATGTACCCTATGGGTGGTGCTCTCTCTCTCTCTCTCTGTTTGTCTCACTATCGCATTGGACTGGTTTTGTCATTCATCCTGATAACAGGTACTCTTTTTCTCTATCTATCGATTCTATCTCACCTGCTATCTCATTGGACCAGATCGACAGCACTGAGTGGTATTTTAAAATCCAACTAGGGATAATTTTGAAAGAAAAAAATTGAATAGGTTCTTATTGTATAGGCACTTAAAAAAAGCTGGAAATTTGGGTTTAAAAAATAAGCCCTTATTTTTAAAATAAGCACTTATTTCGGGCTTATTTCCCAAACGCCAATAAGTGCTTAATGATGTGGTCCTGGCCCAAATAAGCACTCCCAAACATGGCCTAAGTTTCCTTCATATTATCCCAAATGTCCTTAGCTGTCTTTGCCCAAAGGTAATTTCTACTGATATGAGGCTGTATCGAGTTACATAGCCAAGTCATTACTAGGTAATTTTCTTAAACCCATTTGGCATGAGAGGGGTCTTCCTTGGCTGGTTTCTTGGTATCACCCAGTTACATACCCCAACTTGCCCCTTCCTCTAATGGCCATCATGTCCAATTGAGCCCACTTCAAATAATTTGCTCTATCAAATTTAATTGTAGTAATCTGGAAGGGATTGTTGTTTGTCACACTACCATCCCCTACAAGCCCTTCCCCAACAGATTTTAACTCATTCCCAACAGTCTCCATGCTGAATTAAGCAAAGAATCACACAGCCCAACTCCTTTCAAGTAGAAAAAGATCTTCCACTAACTACAGCAACCAAGCTGTTCAAAGTTCACAACCAATCAAAACTGGTTGTTCCTTAAGGCAAAACTCTAGAAAAAACTTGGAGAAAACAGGAAAACTTCAGCCGCTATTTCCAGAGACTTGTAAAAGCCTACCTCCTGCTATTGATCTCAAGAAAGAATAAAAGACACCCAGAAAAAAAATGAGTGCTACCTTCAATCTGAGGTTTAACCCCTAAACCTCAATCAAACAGGTATCTCTGATCCTTCCCGGTCACTGGGCAAACTGCAGACTCAGAAGAGGCTTGAACAATACTTTGATCTCCACTGACCTCCAAGAATCAGGCAAAAAAAGTCTGAAACTCCAGCCCTAAAAGAGTCTCATGCAACTGGCTCGGTTAAGTATACATTAGATCTCAGCCTAAACCTAAACCTGCTCTGATACCAACTTGGAATAACAGCTGTAACAGACTTAGGTTTAATATGAGATCAGTCAAAGAAAAATAGAAAGAAATAAGAAGAAGAAGAAGAAGAAGAAGAAGAAGAAGAAGAAGAAGAAGAAGAAGAAGAAGAAGAAAATAGAAGAAAAAGAGAGCAGAATGGAATGGTTCTTCCGCCCCCTCTACTTGCTATTTATATGTTTCAATAAAAGAAGATTACAATGCCTAAAGTATCCCTGCCACCTATAAGTAAGAGGAAAAAACAAAAATAATAGTAACGGTAGCTAAAAGGTAATAAATAAGAGTGGGACCACACATAAAACAGACTAATAAAAAAAGACCACACATAAAACAGCAACTAAGACTCATTTACTGTATCTCTACACAAACACTTCTTCAAGGTCATCTGCACCACTGATGATCATCCAGAGGCCTTTAACTGGCCTTAATGCAGAGTTGAGCTATATATTTTTTATAATGAACAGGAAAAAGCAAATTGTATTCAAGTTATAACCAGGAACGCATACAGTCCAAAGTTAGACAGCGAGGAGAGTAGGAAACAGAACTCGGGAAGAAATTAATTTTCTGTATCTTCTACTGCTCAATGAATTGTCTTCCCTCCCTCATATGTTTTATCAACTTTGAGATTCTCAAGTCTCTTAAATTTGGGGGGGAGGTCCAATCCAAATTGCTTTCAAAGGAAAAGGGGAAGAAATAGGCTGAAGAAAGACTTGATTCAGAATTTTGTATAAAGATGAGCAGGAAAAAAAACCGCTTGGACTAGCATCCTTGAGACAGTTTTCCTTGGACCAGAAACAAAATTGGTGCAGCCTATTAAACACCAGGACAACGATCAATGTGCTTTATCTCTTTTCATTAAAGGAGTTGAGAATCAAAAGAAGACCTGGTCACATGACCAAGAAAAAAGAGTGGGTCTAGTATGATCTAATCATCTACCAGAAGAAAGACTTTTGATCCAAATAATGGGAAAGAAAAAAAAGGGATAAAAGAATAGAAGGATAGAAAGAAGGATTTGGTGATCTAATTTATGGTGGATTAATACTCCAATACCATAGTTTTCAAGGTGCTAAGGCGAGGCTGGGCATCAGGGGGGTGCCTTGTCGCCTAGTCGCCTCGGCGGTGGATTTTTTTATATGGAAAACAAAGATCCTAGGGTAGTTCACTGGGTACCATAGCCATATTTCCTTAATAATTATTCATAATTTTCATAAGAAAGTATTGAGTTCATGTTAAAGTATGGAAAATCAACATATTCATGAGAAGGAAAAAAAGAAGGAAAAGAAAATTCAAAAAATATAGGGGCTGAACCCTTATTTTTGTTATAGGAAAAGAAGAAAAAAAGAAAGTAGTAGTAGTAGTAGTAGTACAAAACTGCTTGGCGATTAGGCGAGGCGAGTGAGGCGAGCCTCAAAGGGCGCCTTGTCGCCTAGGCGTTGCCTTGACAACTATGTCCAATACCATGGAGATGGTAAATTAAAGAAGTGTTCATTAAGACCATTGCTATGAGGGTGGCACTTCAGGTTAAGATGGCAGATGCCTTCTCTATGGATGATTTACTTGGAATTGGCCATGGGTGGCAAGTTCCTCTTCAATGAACAGTAAACTTAGGCCTTTATTGTCCCATTTGGCTCCTAAAACACATAAGCTGAACTTTGATGGATGTAATGTTGGAAACCCTGATACCTCTTGTGCTTGGTGGAGTCATATTTGCACTATTCTCTTGACCTGTTGATGTTGGTGACTCTACTAGAGCTGAACTATTTGGTTTCTCACAAAGTAGGTGAGTGGATAATTTTCTACAACTTGGTTAGCTAGTGGTGGAAGGGAATTCTTGCACTACTGTGTGCTAAAAACAAATAGTGCATGCTCTTGGAAATACAGATAATGAGAGAGTTAGCACAGTGGGCTGCAATAAGTAGAACAAGTTATAAGTGGGTTCCATGGTCAGCCAACTGTATGGTGGATGCATTAGCGGGACAATGCACTAGTAGAATTCAGCTGTATTGGGGAAGGATCTCCCAAATTGGGAAATTGTAGAAAGGAATTAAAGGGTCGTTCATTTTGTTCTTTTGCAGAGGCTAAAAAGGCTGGGTAGGCACAACCACAGAACCTGTTGCACATAAAAATTCATCAATATTGATAAAAAATTGCTCCGATATTATGTTTTCTGCTATAAACGAGAAAATGAAGAGAGAACAGTTGAGAGATTTAGATGAATCAAGTGAGAGGTTGTGTGCCTGCTCATCTTTTAATTAAAATCTAATAGAGCAAAACAACCATATTACCCCTGCACTATTTATTTTTCTGTTTTACAACAATTATTGTTGTTGTTATTAAAGAATAATATACATGATGTAAGTCCTTTTTGTACAGGTCAAAGCCGTTGGGAAGTTCAAGGAAACAAAACGGACAGAAGGGATATCTACTTCAGACATTATAATGAGGATTCTTAAGGATTATAATCAATATGTGATGCGTAACTTGGATCGTGGATATACACGAAAGGAACTTGGAGTTAGCTATGTGAAGGTATGGTCTTTTTTATATTTGTTCCTAAATGATTCCTTTCAAATAGGATTAGATAATTGGATGATCCTATTTGATCTGTGCTGTTCCTACAGTGGCTTTGTTCCTACTTTCTTCTTCCGATGATGCAACCTTATCTGTTTCTAATCATCAGGAGAAGCGGCTAAGAGTGAACATGGGATTAAATAAGCTCCGTGAGAAAGTGAAGGAGCACCAAGAAAAAGTGGAAAAAAAGGTATTGGTGTGTGCATTCGCACACACACACACACACACACACACATATTTACTGATTTACATGTTGATTTCCTTGGGCATATCCGAGTATCTTATATGAAAAAGCAGCATCAAGTCATTACTTGCGTCCTGATTTGTCAAGGTTCATTTTGTGCGTAAAAGGGCAGCCCAGTGGATGAGGCTCCCGCCAATGAAGGGTCTGGGGAGAGACAGATGTATGCAGCCTTACCCCTGCACATACAGAGAGGCTGTTTCCAAGATTTGAACCCTGGTCACCCCAGGTCACAATGAAGCAACCCCACTGTTATGCCAAGGCTCACCCTCAATTTTGTGCATCTGAATCAATAACATTATTGATGTAGATGCCAATTAACAAGGATGCACTGTTGTCACCTCAATATGAACCCATTAGTTGATCTGTAACCACTTTCTTTTGTAGCCAGTAATGATTTTGATGACTATAATTGTTTCCCCAACATTGTAGATACAAACAGTGGCAAAAACTGCTGGTATGCATCACAATATGTGGGTGGAGAATGCAGATCGGTGGGTTGCTGGTTTTCTTGAGATGTTTGAGGAAGGTTGCCATAAAATGGTTAGTTCCGTTGCATGTATTAGTTATTAAAACTCCAGATTTCCTTGGACGTTTGGTGATCCCAGATCTTGTGCATTTTCCAGGGAACAGCCATTAGGGACCGAATTCAAGAGAAGCTAAAAAGGCAGCAGTCAAAAGGGTCCAAGTTTCTTCAGGATGGGAAGGAGGGAGATGAAGATGAAGACGAAGATGATGATGAAGAATACTTTGATGATGAAGAAGAAGAGTTTTATGATGAAGAATAGGTGAGGTTTTCAGTGATTGTTGTTAGTAACTTGCTACACACTCTGGTTACTTGTTGGGAGTTGACAGTTTGTAGATGATGCTCATGTGATAGCAATATAGTAGCAGTATGGACAATGTATTACGGTGACCTTGGAAGCTAGTTGAAGTGAAATATGAAAAGGCATCCTGGAGTTGTGTTTGAAATTTTGAATGTGTTAGAACTTAGATATGCCTCTGATCCGGAAGAAGGTTTCTTTATTTCTGTTTTTTTTTTCTGACCTTATTAATTTAACAGTCTTGACATAACAGGTAATTGGCAGCCCCTCTGCCCTCTATTGTTTTTATGGCTTTGAAGGGTGCCATATTACTAAGGTATCAGGATTTACATTCATTTTATATCATTCGTTTTAAATTTCAAGATACCATATTTTGTTGGATTAGAAAATTTGTAGATACCGTGTAAAATAAAAGGAACAAAAGGGAAATGAACCACATATAGATTCTGTGGAAATACCCCCAAAAAAACAGAGAATTGAAAATAGGGAGAACAAATGGTTAGGCACAGAATAAAATGTTATAATTTCTACCGAAAAAAAGAATATATTGTTATAATGGTTTATTGCTGTTTATTACACATTAACGCCAAGTATTTTTCTTTTATTTTTTTTTTTTAGGATTTCATTTCATTTTTACCATGTTTTGTTTCAACTCTTTGGCGTGACTTATTTTTTCATAGAGAAATTTATGGTTTGCTCCTTTTTAAAGGGTCTTATCATATCATATCTATAAAAACCCCTTTAAAGGGTCTTGTGATATCATGTTTTAATATTAAAATAAATTTAAATCTCACTCTCATTATATGTCAATTTTATGGCCCCAAGATAGGATACTTCGATGATTTGAACCTTGTTTTCACATAACCCAAAGTAAATAACATCATTTAACTCAACCCAGTCCGGATCTCTAACAAAATACATTCCAACACCCTTATCTCGCAAATGGTGGATCCCTGTCTTATGGCGAGATATGTGGTGTCAATTCATATTGAAAGGGTACTGTAATGTGTTTTATGGGCAATAGATCCCAACTAAACAAGATTATGGTTTGGTAAAATCAAAATGCCTATGTGGCCCTTAGGAGGCAAAATGACTGCAGCACCTTGCACTGCATTATGGCTAATAAGGCCATGTTTGGTTCTCTGTTATGGGCTTCATTTTTTAATTCTTGCTCATTCTATGTAAGAATGAGCAAGAATGAATAACATTAAAGCATTTGGTTACAAAATTCTTGTCATGAGCATCATTCTTTTTAGAATGAAAAATCAGCCCATAACATTGAAGTAGCAGCAACATGAAAAATAATTATACCCCATCTTGCTCATTTTCATGCTTTAAAGAAACTTTATGCCAGCAGTCATAAACCACAGGCCTAGGTCTACAAAACCACCACCACCGCCATAAATGTTTATTGGCGGATTGTCGTGGAAACTTATGCTAGTGGGCATTGACCGCTGGCCATCTACCAATGCACATCTATGCCAAAGATTTTGGAGACCTAGACTGGTGGTTTAGGGTCGCTCAAACATTTTTTTTAATGAAAATGAGTAACATAGAACACTTGTCAATTTGAAAATAATTTATTTTTAAAAAAACAAGTGTTTGGTTCATAGCAATATTTTCTCATTCTACCAATTTTTACCCATTCGTGTCCATTTTAAAATTTCTTCTTGGGTAAGAATGAGAAAAAATGAGAGTTGAAATGGTAGGTGTCCATTGCTATATAATCTCTGATTTAAGACAATCGTTAGGTGTCCAGAAAAAAAAAATGGTAAATTAGATACTACTATAGACTTTGCATGTAGTGGTAATTATCTCCCTAATCTTTCAAATTCTCTCCCTAAACTTTCAAATTCCAACAAAGAGCCCCTCATTAACATTCTTTGAAAAAGATTCTCACGTGGCTGTTTAAAATTTTCTAAATTTCAAAATCACCCTTTGTAATGAGTTTTTAGTGTTTTTATTTCCATTTATTACCAGTTTAGTTGATATTAATTACATGTTGTGTCTGCTGCAATTTCATTATTTTATAAAAGTTTTTGGGCTTTTTTGTTGCAATTTTCGTTTTATAGAAATTTCTTGAATGGATATTTTGGTAAGTTAACTTTACACACAACTAAACGAAGAGGAGGTGTTTGTTGATATCTGAAAGTTCACGGGGCTTTTGTTGTAAATGAAATCAGACCCCTAAACTAGGGGTGAACATGGGTTGGTTTGTTTCGATTCCATGGTAGAACCTAAAACCTACCCCTATAGGAGTAAGTTCCAAGGTCAACCCATGGAACCTGTTCTTTGTGTAGGAAGGGTGGTGAGGCAATAAGAGATGGTCTCTTCAAAAGACAAAGATGACCAAGGATCAGTGGAGGTGGGACCGAGAAGGAATTGTGTAAGAAAGGGGATTGCAAGAAGAGCATGAGGCAAGGGAACTTGGAAACTCAGGAAGTCGGGATTCTAAAGACAGGTCTCGCATGTGAGCCTTCGAGTCTCTCCTTTTTGTAGAGAAGTCCTTAGAGCTATAATGAGAGATAGAAAAATAGGGACTTTTCTCATTAGGAAGGTGTATCACGATTCTTTGGTTGTTATCGAATAATCTTTGTTGGGGTTTCATCACGTGTCTAGTGAGGACTGTACAAGATAATGATTCACTTTTCCCTTAAAATCCTCACGTGGTATGTCTTGGCTATGGCCCTTTTGAGTTTGCCCGTAGTCATCTGTTGAGAATAAGGCTTTTTAGGATGGTGATGTGTCTGGGTGACTTGGTTATTGTGACGAAGCAAATCGTCGCAGCGTATCGCAGAGAACTTGGAGACATACTTCATCCATTGAGGCTCAATCAGTTATGGATGATGTACATAGCCCACTGCAAGTGTAAACAACCACGTTCATCGTTTTAGGGCAATCCTTAATCATCACAAGGATCTACAATGGCGTTTGGTCGTCAAAACTGTTAATCAGTATAATATTCATCACAAATGTTTCATGGCTTCTTTCATGCCATCGCAGCTCTCATCACAAATGTTTCATATTCTTTAAAAACTTGAATTTATAATATATAATTTAAAATTTATATAGTTATTATCTTTGTTGATTAAATTTAGCAATTTTATTGTGAATATTACCTTTTACATTAATTATTGTATCCATTCAAATATTAAAATGAAAAGAAATGAACAAATAACTTAGGCTCAGTTTGGAAGCAGTACAAATGCAAATATGTACAAGGTAAATACATACAAAATAATACAAAATATAAGGTTTTGCATTCTACATATTTACATTTGTACTCCTTCGAAACTCACCCTTGATGGTTAAGTGAGACCATGGCTTTTGTAAGTGCTTGGGTTCAAATCTTCACATCTCCGGGGTTAATTCCAAGAATTTAATATATATATAGAGAGAGAGAGAGAAAGATGGTAGATTGTGGTCCGAGCAAGGGTTGATTAAACGGTTCGGCCAAACGAGTCAGCGACGGTTGGGAAAACAGTTAAGCAGTAGCAATAATCGTTGAAGACTTGAAGTTGAAGTTGATCTCTGTGACTGAGTCTGTCCCTCTCCTTCCAAGTTCGAAGTTCGAAGCTGCGATTCCAATTCAACCTGGCCTTTCAATCGAACAATCATCGCAAGCTCACGAAACTGGTGCTAAAATGCGCCGCCCAGCTAAGCATGAAACAACTCTTACAGGTTCAAGCTCAGTTCTTAACCTGTGCACCTCCTCCCTTCCTTGACCCTAACCTCGTAGCCGTCAAACTTATCGGTGTCTGCTCTGCTCATTCTAAGCTACGTTACGCTGCGCTCATCTTCGCCCAACTCCGTAACCCCAACATCTTCGCTTGGAATTCCATCCTCAAAGCCTACGCCCAGAACAACGATTGGTCCCACACTCTCCATTACTTCAACACCCTACTGTCATCTCCACCTGCCCCCGACCCCGACGAGTATACTTTCACTTCAGTTCTCAAGGCCTGCGCCGGTCTCGTTTCTGTAGCAGATGGCTGGAAAATGCATGCCGTGGTCGCCAAAGCTGGGTTTCAATCCAACCTCTTCGTTCAGAATTCTCTTGTCGATATGTATTTTAAATTCGGCTGCCCGGAGGTTGCCCAGCATTTGTTTGATGATATGCCTCTTAGAGACGTGGTTTCTTGGAACACATTGGTTTCAGGTTATTCTTTGGGTGGCGATGTTGAATCTGCAAGACGGGTATTTGACCAAATGGTCGAGAAGAATGTGGTCTCATGGTCGGCCATGATAACCGGCTATGCTCGAATAGGTGACCTTGATTCTGCTCGTTTGCTTTTTGATACCATGCCTGAAAGAAATGTGGTATGTTGGAACGCTATGATTGCTGGGTATGCGCAGAATGAGAGATATGCCGATGCCATCAACCTATTCCGTGAGATGCAACAAACGGGCTGTCTCGAGCCCAATAGCGTTACTCTTGTTAGCATATTATCATCTTGCGCTCACTTGGGTGCATTGGACTTGGGGAAGTGGATTGATCGGTTTATTTGTCGGGGTGGTGTGGAGTTGAATCTTTTTTTGGGGAATGCACTAGCAGACATGTATGCTAAGTGTGGATGCATAGCAGAGGCAAGGCGGGTATTTGATAAGATGCAGGAGAGAGATGTCATCTCCTGGAGTATTATTATTACTGGGTTGGCCATGCATGGACATGCGGAAGAAGCATTTGCGTGCTTCCTTGAAATGGTTGAATGTGGATTGAAGCCAAATGAGATTACTTTCATGGGCTTATTATCAGCATGCACTCATGCAGGGTTAGTTGATAAGGGGCTCAAGTATTTCTATCTGATGGACCAGGAGTATGGAATCACTCCCAAGGTTGAGCATTATGGTTGTGTGGTTGACCTTCTCAGCCGTGCTGGACGCCTTGCTGAAGCAGAGGATTTGATCAATTCAATGCCAATCAAACCCAATGTTGTAGTTTGGGGTGCATTGCTTGGTGGTTGTCGTATTTACAAAGACAATGAGCGTGGAGAAAGGGTTGTCAAACAAATCCTTGAGCTGGAATCAGAACACTCTGGAAGCTATGTTTATCTTGCCAATGTTTATGCTTCGATAGGTAGGTTGGATGATGCTGCAAATTGCAGGTTGATGATGCAGAAGAATGGAGTGACGAAAACTCCTGGATGCAGTTGGATTGAGGTTAATAACACAGTTCACGAGTTCTTCATGGGGGATAAGTCACATCCTCAGGCTGACAAGATATATTCAATGGTCAGAGAATTGGGGTTGAGAATGAAGGTGGCAGGATATAAACCAAAAACGGATCTTGTGGTGCATAACATTGATGAGGAAGAGAAGGAGGATGCACTATCCACCCACAGTGAGAAGTTGGCAATTGCATTTGGTCTCATTAGCACTAGCGAAGGAACTACTATTCGGATTGTAAAGAATCTGCGAGTTTGTAATGACTGTCATGATGCTGCCAAGATCATTTCAAGAATCGTTGGGCGAGAAATTATAGTGCGGGACCGGAGTCGCTTCCATCAGTTCAAAGGTGGGAGGTGTTCATGTAATGACTTTTGGTAACAGAATAATGGGAAAGGAAATGGGATGGTGGATAATGGGGCAAAGTGGAGGAAATTCAAGATCAATAGCTGAAATCCATATTACTTAGTGAATTGATCGACCAAAGTAGGCCTTTCTCCATATTCTGTTTTTGGTTCAAACTCTGGTAGAATCATTATATATTATTGACCAAAAACGTGCCAATTATTCTTACTGAAATCTCAAGGTTGAAGGCCTGTTAACATGGCATCTATCAGCAGGGAGGCAACTGACATATCAAAGGTAAACACCTTGAAGCACTAGTGGATTTTTGTTCTCTGGGTTTTTCTTTACAATTAGCCAATACTAATTTGATTGTTACCCCTCTCTTTCTCTCTCAGGCTCTCACGGTTACCATCCATTTACACCAAGGAATTGTACATTGGGTTAGAGTATGAAAAGGACATCATATACATCAATAGTGTTATTAACAAAAAATAAAGCACTTTTGGGTAGACATACTTAAGTACAGTGCCAACATTTTGTCTATGGATTTCCTGTTCTGAACTAGACTTGTCTACAATGATTCTAGCATTTCGTGCACTCCATATGGTTTAAGAATTAAGCAAGGAAACATTGACTAGAAGATTTTTCTATCTTGCTTAAACTTTTAAGCTGCCAGTTCTTGAATAGAAGTTAGTAGATATTGGAGAATATCAATGCATTCTAAAGATCCCCAGGAATCATGACCATAGTGAGGAGATGAAGCAGGAGTGTATAAGAAGTGGTTGGTTGAGACTTCAGATTGTCAATGGAATAGTTCCCCAAAGCATAAGATTATGCGATAAAAGAAACTAGTGAACGACTTTTTTTTTTTTTAATTTGATCACTAACAGAAATTTTATTAAAGAAAGAAATATAGATTACAAAGGAGACAAGGGAAGAGATAAAAGCTCTTAACCCTCCCCAAGAAAGTCAAAAAACAGTTACAGCATATTCTAGAATCTAGACTCCCTTGATTCAGTAGTGGTTTGTGACTGAGTTTTCTAAAGAAGTTACGTCATTGGGTCAACCTCCAAACACTTGAGGTTCTTTCTTACTATAGGGTTCTACTCTGTCTCTAAATGAGTTACCTAAAAACAATATGGTATAAAGCGTCCCTTATTTACTGCTGCCACAGATTGGGGGGCAGGGATCCACCAGGGACTGGATCATCACACAGACAGTGAATCCCTCTGGTGTCTTACTTGGGAGTATCTTTTTTCTATATGCCATTCTTTGATAAGGTGAGAGCATTTTTCAATCCTTTTCTGGACAGCAAGTTCATATAACTTTTGAACATCCTCCATTCCTAGTTTAAGTTCCCTTATATTTTTATATTGTAGTCTTCCTGCATAGCCTTACGGGCTTTTAATTGAATCTATGAGATCATTTGCCTAAGAAGAGAGCAATTAACATCCTCAGGTGTCTTGAATCAGTCATCAACTTTTGAGGCACATATAGGTTACAAGTAGGTGAATGTATATGCTAACATTCCTAAGCAATCATGAATTCATGATATACTTTAAGGAGATCAAAAGCAAATGACAAGTAATTGACAATAATAGAAGAGTCTACAAGTAGCTGTCAAAGTGGAGGAAAGTAATGGGCAGCTATCCAAAGGGAAGGGACTGCCAAACAGGTGACAAGCAAGGTTTCAAAAGGATAAAGGCATAGTTGAGGTATAATGGCCCAAAGAGGTGAGGCATAACCCTCAATGCATAGCAAGGTTTAAAAGAATCCTTTTCAGATCTTTACTCAATTTCTACATACAAGGAAAAACCTATAGCCTTCTTTGTTTTGACTTCCCTACAGGGATTTTTTGGAACTTTGTGTTTAAGATAGTTTTGAGAGGCTTTGAGCTTCTGCCATTATGGGTTTGATTAGTTCTGTTGAAAGTGTTGTTTTTGCTCCATCTACCTAGACTGTGGAGTTTGGTACATAGATTTCAAGGCACCAAGGTGAGGCTAGGTGATAGCAGGGCGCTTTGTTGCATAGTCACCTGGGGGGCACCTAGGCATCACCTAGCTGATGGGATTTTTTTGAATAAAAAGCATGAATCCTAGGGTAATTCCCTAGGTTCCATGGTAAGAAACAACAATCTTTCACTATTAATTTTTTATTATCTTCATAAAAAATGTATAAACTTCATTTAAAACATAGAAAATAAACATATTCATGAAAAACTAGAAGAAAGAAAAGAAATTTTAGAAAATAGAGGGGCTGAGCCTCTATTTTTTTCCTAGGAAAAGAAGAAAAGAAAGAATGAAAGAAGAAGAATTCTTCCATGCTTATTAGTTCAGGTTTTGAAGTCTTTGAGGATTCAAGACAATATACATCTTTTTGAAACCTAACAAATAAGAAAAGTAATAAAAGAACTAGTATTTGAACTCAAATTGAATAATTTAGCTTAATAATGTCTGCTTTGTTATAATCACAGAAAGTTAAGAATATAAACTTATCTAAAAACACTGTGTAGAAAATATCTTGGCAATTAAGTGAGGTGATCCTCCATGAGTGCCTTATGGCTTAGGCATCACTCTACATGTTAAGCTACCTTGGTATTGCCTGATTGTCATAATTAGGTAGTATATCTTAGAGGTAGTCTCTATTTTATATGATAGTGGGGAGTTCTTGTATCAGTTGGTTTAACAATAGCAAAAATGCCTTTGCTAGGTTATTTGTTTTTTCATTTGATTGATAGCAGCATGTTTGTGTTTTATTGGATGGTCGCAAAAAATTGTTGTTACTATGTGAAGTCATGAAAACCAAATCACCCAAGCATGCACTCACTTGGTGGTTTGTTTATCTTTTGACTTATAGCATGTATGGGTCTTTTAGAGGCCATAAGAAAGTGTTATGATTATGTAAACTCATTGCTCCACATGTTAGGCCTTCACATTTCTTGATAGCAAGTAGTTCATGTATCAGTTAGGGTAGCGACAACAAGCATGCTTTCATTGGGTAATTGTATCTTTCATTTGATTGATAGAATGTCTATGTTTTATTGGAAGGTTGCAAAAAAGTGTTGTGACCATGTGGACTGATCACAATTCAGAACCAAATCACTAAAATCACCTAGGCATGCACTCACAAGGTGATTTGGTTTTCAATTTGATTATTAGCATGTTCATGACTTATTGGAGGGTCACAAGAAAGTGTTGTAACCATGTGAAATCATCGAAACCAAATTACCCAAGCATGTACTCACTGGGTGATTTGTTTTTTCTTTTGATTGACATGCCATTGTTTTATTGGAAGGCCACAATAAAGTATTGTAACCATCTGAACACTTCACAACACATGTTAGTCTCCCTTGGCATTTCTTGATTCTCATATTAGGTAGTAGACTTTAGAGGTAGTCTTTATTTTTTCTTATGTTAGTGGGTTATTTTTATATCATTTGGGGTAGGAAAAAGACATGCACTCATTGGGTGATTTGATTTTTCATTTGATCATTAGTATGCCTATGTTTGGCGATAGGGTTGAAAGAAAGTGTTGTGGCCATATGAATTCATTGAAATTAAATCACCTAGGCATGCACTCATTTAGTGATTTGGTTTTTCATTTGATTGATAGCATGCTTGTGTTTTGTTGGAGGGTCGCATGATAGTGTAGTGGTCATGTGAACTCATTGTTATGTTATGACAATTTCTAAATTGTCATAGCGAGGTAGTAGACCCTAGAGGCAATCCCTATTTTTTCATGTTAGTAGGTTGTTAGTGTGTCATTTGGAGTAGCAATAGTAAGATGCACTCACTGGATAATTTGGTTTTTCGTTTGATTAATAGCACGTCTGTGTTTCACTAGAGGGTTACAAGTAAGTGTTGTGGCTATGTGAAGTGAACACATAGAAACCAATCACCTAGGAAAGCACTCACTAGGTGATTTAGTTTTTCCAATGTTTTAAAAGCGAATGTGCATTTTGCACTTGAGGTACAAGGCTCAAGGTGAGGTGCATGGCTTTTTGAAGCAAGGTGCAAAAATGCAAAATAAAAATGAAAATGCAAAAAATAAAAATATTAAAATATTAAACATAACATAACATATAGACTTAAAATTTTAAAAATAAATGTTTTAGAAAAAACTATTATATCAAATTAAAATACATAAACATAACATGTAAAACATATTCAAAATGAAAATGTAAAAATAAAACCAAACATAACATATAAAATGTATTCAAGCATGTTGGAACCTGCTAGGTGGTAATAATAATTGCTATTTACAAAAGTGGTGAAGGTTCAAATCACATTACATGCATGTTACTTTTACACAAGCGGCGAAGCCATTTGACTATGTTTGGGTTTCGAGTTTTGGGTTTGACCGAACCACTTAGGTTAAACCAATTAGACCAACTTGAACTATCTAATTGGATTGTCTTCGAGTTAATCACATCAAAGGTGGTTGAATCGTTTAGATTTGGATTAATTCAGTCGGACCAAACTGGACCGGTTTAGTCAATGGTAGATTGACTTGGACTAGCCCATATTAGGTTTGTGCACGGGTTTGGGACAAAACTGATTGGCCCAAAGTAGGTCAAGAGAAGTAAATCGGATTGGCTCATATTTGGGTTGGATGATCCAAGCCAAGCAAAGTGGGGGCGGATTTCAAGCTAGCCCGAACCATCCGCACGAACTTGTTTTGGATCCGGATCAACCCAGAATATGCCTGTCTTGGGTCGGGTTGGGTTTGGACTAGGCTGACCGACTCAAACAAACCAAACCAAGGTGATTGAGTCTGTTCATATTTAGACCAAGTTGAGTTGGTACGGACTTGGGTCAAGTTGATTTGGATTTATGTTGATTTGGGTGAAGTGTGTTGATTCGAGACAAAACTAATTTTAGTCAATAATTAAAAAAAATTAATGCATTAATTATAAATTATTTCATTCAAATGAGCTAGTACAAACTCAGGTCAAGTTGATTTGAATTTATGTTGACCAAGTTGAGCTGGTATGGACTCGGGTCAAAGTTGATTTGGATTTATGTCGATTTGGGTGAAGTGTGTTGATTCGAGACAAAACTAATTTTAGTCAATAATTAATAGAAAATTAATGCATTAATTATAAATTATTTCATTTAAATGAAGAAAATTAAAAAAAAAGGCTAAGGAATTTATACTTATATCTGTAGTGGTTAACCCAATGGTTATCCAATCCACAACCCAATTCAACCCATTTAAATTGACCCAATGGATGATCAACCCATTTCCAACCCGCCAAGCAAATGGGCAGGTTGGGTGAAAAATTGCCACCCTGGATGACTGGCTTTCTTGAGATGTAAATGTTTGATGAAGGTTGTCAAAAAATGGTAATTTTTGTTGCATGTATTAGCTATTGAAAATTGAGATTCTTTGGATGCTAGATCACAAGCCTTGTGCATTTTCCAGTGAACAGCTATTAGGGATCGAATTCAAGAGCAGCTAAAAAGGAAACAGTCAAAAGGGTCCAAGATGAAGATAAAGAAACAATTTGACACTGGAGGAAAAAGAGTTTTATGACAAAGAATAGGTGAGCTTTTCTATGTTTGTCGTTAGTAGCTCACTACAAACTGATTATTTGTTGGGAGTTGACAGTTTGTAGATAGTGCTCATTTGATGGTAATATAGTAGGAATATGGAGAATATATTACGGCAACATTGAAGATTAGTTAAGATTAAAATATGCGAAAAATGAATTTTTGAAACTAAAGATGTTGCAGTATGAGGGAAACTATAGAGAAGAAATCAGGGCTTTACAACAGTTGCCTGGTTCATGAGGGACCATAGAGACGGAAAGGGAGCTGCGAGCAGATCTACAGAAGGTATTGCATTGTAAGGAATTGTTTTGGTTGCAAAGATCTAGAGAATCTTGGCTGCGTGAGGGGAGGTTGCAACACAAGATTCTTTCATTTATCAACATCACAAAATTGAAGGTGGATTGTAATCGTGAGTCTCGAATTAGATGGTTTTGGCGTTTTGACAGAAAACAGATTAAAAGTGCCATTGTGGACCACTTTGAGAAGGCATACCAGTCCACTGATCCAGTAGCGTTGAATGACTTGGTGATCCTATTGCAACCATGTACAACGGAGGGGGATAACGATATAGGTATGGTTGTGGAGTCGTCCAAATGGAGAGGAGATATTCCAAGTTGTTAAAACAGATGGGCCCATTTAAGGCCCAGGGCCCTGAGCCTCTGATGGCGTATTTGCAACTTTCTATCAATAATGTTGGAGCACGGTTGGTAAGGACATCAAGGCCTGAGCCTCTGATGGGCTGTTGTAAAGAGTTTCTAAAACCTGGTACTCAATGGTTTCAGATTGTATGTCTGCTATTATTTTTAAAGATTAAGCAAATCAATTTTGCTGCAGAGGTTGAATAATGATACAAAGAAAAAAAAAAAAAAACAGCTGCATCTGCACATATTAACATGCCATATAATGATACAAAAAATAAGAAGAAAAAGGATAAGAATTCCAAGAATAAACTACCAAAATTTGGAAACTAACAATTGAGTCGGGTGACCTCTTACCTAAGTGTTGTTTGCTCTAAGTACATGAACTGAATAAAGTAGAGACTAGCAATTTAAAACAGTCTAGCCTTGTTGAAATTGGAACCACACATCATCAGCTGGTCTTGCGGTCCCCCCAGTGTCCAGAGTTTGAAAATGGCCCAGGCACTCAAGCATGCCTTCAAGCTCCAAGGTGAATCTCGATCAATTGGTGCAATCATATTTGAGGGTTCCCTTGGTTGGGAGAAACATTAAAGAAAGAAATGTGCAGCAACATTAAGTGGAGTTGATTTGAACCCGGTAATGAGCAACTTCCCATAGTGTGCAACAACATTGTGGGATAAGGAACCTAATCAGTCAAGTTTATAATGCCAATTATGGTTGACTTGAGGATATGGCACCCCCAGCCTATCATGAGGCACCAAGGACATCAGATTTGGATCATGCAACACTTTAACCCCTACCGTGTTTTGCTGTAGTCCACTACTATATAGTCGAGGAGCAAATGGGAGGTGTGGAGGACAATATGGCCTCTCAGATCCCGATGGCATTTGATTAAATCCATAACCAAATCCAGGACGAACGTATAGATTCTGCTGAGGAATAGGTGAATGGACAAGAGGTAGGTGGCTTGGAATCTCAGCATGCATTTGGTGTACTGTAGGGACTTCAATAAACCGCCTCTTCTTTGGTGGGATTGGGTTGAGTGGAGGTGACATTCCTGCAGGATCATGGAACGGAAAGCTTCTCTTATGATTGACAGTACTACTGCAATGTACAGAAGGAATAGGTTCTGAACCAAAGAGAGAATTATTCAACTTCGGTGCTTGAATTAGGCCATCCTTGAAATCTTCGAGATCGCAAAGAGAAACATGGATGCACCTGTAGATCTTCTTTAAGCCTTCCATATCAACTGCCCTGGCAACATTCTGGGTGCGATCTGTGAAATCCTCAACCTGGGACAAGAAATGAAATGGTTTATTTTTTTCTTCAGCCAAAAAGAAATTATATGTAATTCAAGTTAATTGAATACAATATCATTTGAAATGGTCCAGTTAAGTTACACTTATATAGCCCACTTGATCATCCCAAGATTTAGATATCCAAGATCCTTGATATGTGCTCACACAGAGACCTTTAGGCCATAGAGTCTCAACTGATGCCATCTGCAATTGTAATGAAACCAATGAAAATCTGCATACTGTTGTTACATATCTATTTCATAGGAAGGAAGGGCATTACCATGGCCAATAGAGTTACAAAGAGTTCAGCCAAAGATTCTTTATTCTTCTTCCCATAATGCAGAAAATCATGAACCGTCATCCTGATATCTTGAGGCTCAGCTCCATCTGAAGAATTTGAAGGTCAGTAATACCTTGAGAACCACATTAATCAACAGAAAGCAATGAAAGAAAAGAACAAGAAAGAGCAATGACAATAAAAGGATTTGGGTGGGGAAGGAACAGGTTGAGAAAGACACAAGATAATCATCAAGATAAAGCATGTGAGGCATGCCCATGGTGCCAGATTATCATAAAATCATTAGATGAACAGCAAAAACAAAGGGAAGACCAAGTGAGACGCAATAAAGGTGTAAATGAAAGGCATGCTCGTTGTACCCTGCATAGGATAAAAGAGGTGCATCAGGTATGAACCTAAGTAGGGCTGCAACCCAAACTTTTGCATGAGTTGGTCTTCAGTTGAAGCATCCAGTAAAACAAGCCCACCCAAAGTGAGCCATCCCACTTAGGCCCAAGGCTGGCTGGTACAAGTTTTTAAGATCAAATCATCCTGGCTACCTCCTTTGCCTCAGGTTGGTCCAGGGCCTCAAGCCAAAAGGTAAACACTTTGATTGGGCCTTCTTAATCGTAGGCCTGTCCATGTTGCACCCCTTAGCCTAGGGATGCGACTGTCTCAAGGCACACGAGGAGAATGCCTTGTTAAAACTTGTCAGGAATTTTATTAAGGAATAGAGAATCAGAGATAATAAACAAATGCAAGATAAAGATATAACCTTCAATTGGGCCATCCTAATCTTGTCTGCCTCTCCATCATTCTATCCCCCAGACTCAATTTTATCCAAATTAATGTTCTGCTTCAACTTGCTCCAATCCTCTTATTGATCAACAGGTCAGAAGATATCACATCTAAAGCATTAAACCAACCAGACTCAAATTTTGTCCTTCATATCCCTTGTTTTACAAACTCTTTTAATTTGCACGGACTGGGACTTACTCTCATAAGCTCAATAACATAAACCAACATTCTATGACCCTATCTACCATTAATTTATTCCAATAAGTAGTTCATTCATGCTTTTTAAAGTTTTTGTATGTTCTGTATGTGGAAGGTAATTGGTAGCAAGAAAAAGAAAAAAGGTGCTGATTTGGGCACAAACCATATTTTATAAACCAGGCAAACCCCTAATGTCCCCACCATATTCTTTAAACTTCTCATTAATCTATTATACATCTACAAATTTAAAAAAAAAAAAATGCTGATTTGGAGTGTGCCCCAAATCACTCCCCACACCACCAAAGAAGAAGAGGGTACAAGATATAGGATTTTCCTTTTCAGGAGGGAGAAGAATGAGGTGAATGTGAACACAACCATAGTCAAAAGCAAACCATCAGTCTGCTTGGAATCAGACCAAGACCATGCAATTGGGTATCACAGTCACTGAATCTTTAGGAAGAAGAAGAATCAGCCTTAAAATAAGAAACTAATGGACGTAATATATCACTAGCACTATCCATCAAAAAAGAAATATATTGTTTGCACAGTTAACTTACTTTTCAATAGTTCACTAAATGGAGGTAATATAGGAGGGTCTCGAGTCTGCACAACCAAAAAAAGGACATGATATATATGGAGAGAAAGACATTGTTTCTCTAAGTATAATCTAAGAGGATCTTAAAGATTAAAACATATTAAATCAAGTTGGCATTCAATATCAAATTACATGGCTCAACCAATTAAACAACAGCAAACGTCTTGTGGATTGATCATTAAAATTCTATACAACTATAGCAATTTCCAGTACACTAAATATAGTTCAACATCAATGGTTTTCTGCATGCAGAAAATCATGTTCAATAGAAAAATGTTGTTAAAATGATATTATCGGCCAAGGCACTAGATCATGCTTGTTGCTTAAGCATGCAACAAAGACCAACACCCTAAAAAGAAAAACACTATTAATAGATAAAGAATAGATAAAAAATTAAGAACATTGATACAACTGAAAAAAAAAAAAGAAATGAGTTCTTTAAGCAATTGAGAAATAAATTCAGACACTAATAAAAATCTCAACCTTCCCAATAAATGGCCTCATAACCAATGCCCCCCCCCCCCAAAAAAAAAAAAAAAAAAAAAAAAAAGATTAATAACGATGCATACCAGTCTTCTTAATCATGGTTATATCTGATGATTTTGGTAAGCTCCATCTATTTTGCCACATATGTTCAGATTAAGTCTTTGTGGCATGCATGGAAAGGGTGGTGAAATGGTGTAGAGTCCCATTTTCCTGCTTCCTAGAGAGAATTAGGATGTATAAAAGCTAATGAAGAACTTGGAAGACAACTTGATGGATCCATGTAAATGAGACAATAGTACTTACAAAAAAGAGGAACCAAAGGGATAGCTTAAGAGAGATCTTAATACAACAAATTTGTACGACAATGCTGCTGCCAAATAATTTTAAAGGTTGGAAATAAAGAATTAAGGTGATGTTTGGCATAAATGCCGATTTCCCAGAAATCGGTGCCACGTCGGATCCACATCAGAAATTTAAGATTTGTTTTTTTTTTTCCTTGTTTGGTTGGCTGATAATGCCAATTTTTGGGAAATCAGCAAAAGATTGATCCCTGCATTCAGCTTAGGCAAGGGATCACCACATTCAGTGATTCCCCAATTTTCAGGTGGTTCTGATTTTTGTTGGGTGAGGTGGCACCCTATGTGGCAGGGGCGAGAAGGTTTTGCAGTGCTTCAATGAAAAATAATCACTCTTGAAAATCAATACTAAACAATCTCAAAAGTTATTTCTACAAAATTGGCTTACATGGAGGAAATTATACCAAAAAAAAAAGAGTGGTTATTGGAAAATCACTGATTTTCAAAAAAACAGGTGTGAGGAATCATCATCAATGCCAAACATCACCTAAATATCCCATTAAACCCAGCATTTATGAACAAAGGTTGCATCTTCCTACAATTGCACACTGCACTTGTTGGACAACTTGAATTTGCATGTTGAGCTTGCCTACAATTAGATGAAATCTACTGTTTCACTTGGAGTAAATAAGATTTGGGGTTTCCAATCCCTCCTAAAGTGACAGTAAACAAGCTCAATATGCAAAAATTGAAGTTGGTGAACAAATGTGTTTTGTGTGGTAGAGAGAGATTGTGACCATTAGGTCACAAAAACCAGGTTTCATAGGATGGGAACAACCGAGAGTTCTTTCTCTCAATTACTGAAGTTAATTGGTGGCAATGTACATCTACTGCCTCACTATCCAACATTGGCCAAATAATAGATTTTGAGTAAGGGTGCAATCTAACAGAGAATTACTAGCTTTACTATCCTGTAGGGCATTTGGAAGGCAAAGAATTTCCACAAAAAAAAAGGAAAAAAGAAGGCCACTTCCAATAACCTCTAGCAACATTTGCTCCCTTATATTAGATTGAGCTTGATTGTAAACCAGTTCAAAGATGTGTTGGATATGGAGGTAAATGTTCCTTTTCTCTGTGAAAGATATAATTTATATTGGTTGAAATACATTCTGAATGTCACATTTCCACCCATTTTTAGTGAATATGGAGGAGCTGTACAGCCCACAGGAATAAACAAAAACTTATGTGGCTACTATTTTTTAGGGGTGATCATGGCCGGGCTGGGCTGGGCATTAGGCCTATGATATCAAATAATAAACAATTATATATTTATAATATTTTATGTTATATAATGTGTATATATATAAACGTTGTGTGGGCCAGGCTTTGGGCCTATGACATTAAAATATATGACCACCCTACACTCATAGTTGTCTATTCCTATTAGTCAATGTGGGATGTTAAATGTAAAACTCACATGCTCACTATTTAAATTTGCTTCTTCATTCAAGGTCCCATATTGACCAAGTATGAGAATAAAGGCTTTGCATTCATTTATATAAGAATAATTAACAAACGAGAATAAGCTATGCACTCTTATGCATAGTTGTCAAGGCGACTAGGCGAGGCTAGGCGACCATGGGGCGCCCAGGCGCCTAGGCGATGGAATCTTACCTAAACTATATTATAAGTTTAGGAACTAGGAAGGGAGTAGGTTCGGCTGTTAAAAATAATAAGTGCAAGAAGCTAGAAACTAGGAAGGGAAGGAGGAGGAGGAGAATAGGGGTGGAACCCCTGTTTTTTGAAAAAAAAAAAAGCATTGAATATGGAGAATAGGGGCGGAGCCCCTGTTTTTTCGAAGAAAAATAGAACTGAAGCTGGGCTGGAAGAGAAGAAGCCCCTGTTTTTTTTGAAAAAAAAAAAGAGCACTAAAGCTGGATTTAGGCACCCGCCTTGTGTTTAGGCGCTCGCCTAAGTCTCTGGGCGGTTGCCTAGTATACAAAACCATAGGTGTTTGGGCGAGGCGACAATGTAAAACCGCCTAGTCGCCTAGGCGTCGCCTTGACAACTATGCTCTTATGCAAGTTGACTCGTGGATACATGTCAACTCATGAATATATATAATATATATTAAAATATTTAGTATAAATATAATATATATAGTATAGTATATGTTAAGTCCTTAATTTTGTCGAATAGGGAGCATGTTATTAAGCTACTTCCAATCACAACTTAAGAGAGAGAGAGAGAGAGGGCTTTCTTTCCAATAGACCTTTTAAGCCCGGTTAGTCCTATGGCTGGGCTGAAACAATTTAGGAAAGAAAGGGGCTTGTAGTCCAGTTTAGTGAACAACAGGCCCTAAGTTAATTGGGCCTTATTTATAATGCAATAAGCATTTAGGAGTGTTAGATATTCGATCAGACCTGATTTCCTTCCTAAAATAAAGGGAAAATAGAGAGAAAGGAGAGGAAGAGAAGGTGAAGAGATGGCTCGGCTGTTCTCAGAAGGGAGAAAAACCCCACTCCCCACCCGACCAGAATAGTATATATAGATTTCTAATCAGAGTTCAATGATCGTTGTGCCCCTCTTTAAGTATGGGACACTCAATTCAATCTCAAACATAATAAACAACACAACCTAGAATAAAATACTCTGAAATGACTCAAATACCCCTAGATTGTCGACTCTAACACTCCCCCTCAAGCTAGAGAGTATATATCATATAATCCTAGCTTGTTACATATATGATCCACCTTTTCCCGACTCAACCCTTTTGTGAACAAATCAGCCTACTGACTCCTTGTATTCACATGTATTGTATTTATCACTCTACTAAGCACTTTTTCTCTTACAAAATGACTGTCAACTTCAATGTGTTTTGTTCGCTCGTGGAATACTGGATTAGATGCAATGTGAACAGCAACTTGATTGTCACAATACAACTACATAGGATTGTTGAGTGTATACCTAATCTCATGGAGAAGGTTCTTCAACCAGACTAACTCACAAGTTAAGTGTGCCATAGCTCTATATTCAACTTCAACACTACTTCTTGCTACCAATGTTTGTTTCTTAATCTTCCACGTTACCAGATTTCCTCCAAGAAAAGTACAGTACCTTGTAGTAGACCTATCAAACAATGAGTCAGCCCAATCTGCATCTATATAACCCTCCACTTCAAGACTTCCTCCTGATTTGTATAATAATCCATGACCTGGAGCTCCTTTCAAATACCATACAATCCTTAGAACTGCATTTCAATGGGGAATCCGAGGCTTTTGCATAAACTGTCTAACTACACTCACTGCAAAGGAAATGTCTGGCCAGGGTAATGGTCAAATAATTTATTTGAAAAGGTCTTGTAATGACAATATCATCTACATATACCACCAACAGTACCTTTCCAGCTTCATAATCATAGCTGAACACCGAATGATCAACCTAACATTTCTTCATACCGAAGTCTTTAATTACCTCTCTAAATCTACCAAACCAGGCACATGGAGATTGTTTCTACCCGTAAATTGCCTTCTTACGTCTACACACCTTAGCATCCTCCCCTTGAGCAACAAACCCTAGTGGTTGCTCCATATACAGGGTTAGAAATGGGATGCAAAGTACAACTATGTTTACCTTTACGCAAGGCAATGAGAAGATCAAGATCAGATGGAGAAGGCATCACAGGGTTAGGAAGACACATGAGGAGATGAAGGAACCTATCGATGCGTATACACATGCCTGATAGGTGGTCCCTCAGTAGGAACCTGCACTAGAGGAGACGAAGACACGGAAGTAACAGGAAGAAGAGGAATGAGGTCACCAACAAGAATTGGAAGTGGAACCATAGGGGATGAATGAGGACTATCACTACTCATAATGAATGGAACAAACTCGAAGAAGGTAACATCAGGACACACAAAGGAATGTTGAGAGAATGGATGATAACACTTATATCACTTCTGCGTCCGAGAGTAGCCAAGAAAGATACACTTGGTAGAGCGGGCATCTAATTTGTCAATCCCTGGGTGTAGATTATGAACAAAGCATACACACTCGAAAACCCTTGGAATAAGAGGAAAGGGAGACAACGTAGGAAACAAGACGGAGAATGGAGATTGACCTCCAAGGATAGACAAAGGCATCTGGTTAATGAGGAAACAAGCTGTAAGAACAACATCACTCCAAAATCGTTTAGGAACACTCATGGGATGCAAAAGGGACTAAGC